TTAATTATATAATTGCTTAATTATTTACACATTTAATTATTTATTCCAGTTTTTAATGACGTATTTATGTCATTCATTTTGGCAGTCCTGGCCCTGTGGCTGTTCATGAATGAATTTCAGCCCATCAAAGTCAGGGGGCGGGGTTAGTGCTGAAGTCACACCCATTGCTTTGGGCTGCTGCGAGGCTGTATTATAAACTGTGATATGAGTCTGTAGGTGCTCTTATACTTCTTGCCTTCAGTTGTATTAGTTTCCTTCTGGAAGTGTGTGATGTGTTTCATAGTTTCTAACAGTGAAACGTAACGTGACATAAAAAAGCACGCCCCACACAATCAGATGTTAATCTGATTTTATTTTTATTTTAGTAAATCTAAAGAATCCTAACAGACAGAGGTGCTTAGATTACAGTTGAATTAAAACAAATGGATGATGTCATCATTTCTTCATGATCAGCATGCTGGTTCAGACGCTGCTGCTCTCGGTGGACATGCTCCCTCTCTGTCCTCCTCGTATAACAAAGATTTTTAATGTTAGTGTTAATATTAGTAATGTTAAGAGGTGATGCATGGTTTAATGCTCAGCCTTCCTTTTAAACGATGATTCATGCAGTTGTCTCTCTGCCTGTAGGTGCGATGGATGATGTACTGGATTGTATTTGCCCTCTACACTGTCGTGGAGACGATCACTGACCTAACACTGGCATGGTGAGTTTGCCATGAATGTTAAACACAAACGCAGTTAATCAAACATTATGTAAACCTCGTGAACTCGCATGTCGTACAGATACATCTACACTGACTGTGTGAGTGGAAGAAGTTGTTTTCCTCGCTACCCTGAATAATAATGATAGAAATGTACTCTTTCCTAGTGTAACTAGAATAAACTTGTGGTAATGTGGATGTGCACTGTGTAGGGACAGAGTCACATTTGCAGGAACTTCAGGTCGAGTTTCAGTGATTTTATGAATCTCTCATGTGGCAACATTTAGCTCGAAGGAACAATGTAACGATTTTGAGGAATTGATGGAGAACGATGTTTTTTTTTTTTTTGTTTTTTTACAGATGTTATATGCAGTTAAACTTTAAAACGCTGACATTTCTAAAACCAATGAGAAGTTTTTGAATATTTATTATTACTCATTAATAAGAGAAAATAATTTCTTACCCGGTTACTCGATTAATCGATAGAATATTCGATAGATTAGTCCATTAATAAAATAATCGATACCTGCAGCCCTACAGCTGATGTTTAATCAGACAGTCACAGAAAGTGCTGGAACATGTCGGTGCAGTCCAAAAAACCATAATAAACCTTCAGAGCTGTGTGCAACAAAAACTTGACAACAGGAGTGGGAGTGGGTGCATATCTCTTAACCTGTTTGTCTGCAGTGGAAAGCATCATTATGTACCATGGGTTAAACTTACCGTGTGTGTGTCTCCATATCCAGGTTTCCTCTCTACTACGAGCTAAAGATAGCTTTTGTGGTCTGGCTGCTGTCCCCTTACACCAGAGGAGCAAGTCTTATTTACAGGAAGTGTCTGCATCCTTTGCTGTCCTCCAGAGAAAGGGTACATTCATTCGTACATCCACGTGTAATGCAGGTCACACTGCTTTGTTCCCAGTTCAACTGTGTTCTAAAATGTAATTGTTGTCTTCCTTTAGGAAATAGATGAGTACATTGTGCAGGCCAAAGAGAGAAGCTATGAGACCATGGTGAACTTTGGCAAGCAGGGCCTGAGCATTGCAGCCACCGCTGCGGTCACTGCAGCCGTCAAGGCAAGTTATTCTTTTTTTTATTTTTCACGTGAGTGCACTACAGTTTTATGTTAGATAGCACGGCTAAGTCAGTTTTCATCTTCTTTCTCACTACTTTGCTACAGAGTAGGGCTGTGCGATATGTCCAGAATCCCATATCCCGATATAAAACATCTATCGTCCGATAACGATGTAAATCACAAAAATGTAACATTTTCTGTAAAGTCTGTGAATCTCGGGCAGCTCGACTTGCGTGAAGTGTTTCCTGCTGCGCGCCGTGTAGCTGGAGTCGAGTGTTTTAACCGTTGCTGAAACGATACATTTTTAGACATAAGCTGTAACGGCGCCGTTTTCTTTGTGAGTATTTATTACACGGCGTGCTGCGGGGAAAAGCCTGTTCTAACGTTTGAGTCTGAGCTTTATTTTTTAGCACCTGGCGTCTTTTTTACTTCTCATCCGTAAATAATCTGCTCTTTCATGTGATTCAATTTATTTTGAAAGGTCTCAACATGATCTTGAGCTTTATTGTGAAAGGTTTAAGTGGAACATAAACAAACGGACACGCGATGCTGTTACCGTCGTTGTTGCTAACAACAACGCACAAAAACAGGCGCTTGTCCGTCTGTAGTGTGGTTATATTAAATATTAGAGAGAGAACTTTAAGAAATGAACATAGCCTCTACAGTGACATCAAAACCATGAACAAATATGGCTGTAAACAGTTTATTTTGCGACACCATGAAACAAACGATAGCGTAAAATGAAACGATACATGTTTTTATATCGTCATCCGATATATATCGTTATATCGAACAGCCCTACTACAGAGTAATAAAATACCAGTCTGTCGGCTTCAGCTCTCTTTGCTTGCAACAGCTTCCTTTGTCTGTGTTCTACAGTAACGCCTGTGGGCACTGAATGTCCTTATTTAGCTTGCTAAATCAGACGTAAGACCATACAGACCAGAGGTCGGCAACCTGCAGCTCTTTAGTCCTTACAGTGCGGCTCCGCGTGGTTTGGGAAAATAAATTAGAAGTGTTTAGCTGAAGTGTATTTTATTTCTATTAGTTCTTTTTTAACTTGTAGTTCTAAATTGGAAGATTATTGTGATATTGAAATATAAAAATAAAATTATATCTTATTATTTTTTCATCGCTCAAAATAAGCGTCACACTCGCGGAAGCTGAAACGGCGTGCATTTATCGAGACTTTCAACCCCAGGTAGGCCAGTTATGGACCTTCGGATCCACATTATGTCAGCAGCTCCACCGTGAACTATGTTAAAGACAAACACGCTCACGCCTCACAGACGACAGCTTACAGTCCTGTAAAGATGAAGTGACTTCGTACAGCCCCGACCTGCAGACGCTGTGCGCAGAGGTTCAGGAGCAGAAGTCCCATTGTAAACATATCACGGCAGACCCGACGATGTTTGCATGAACACGCTTTTCAGCATCTCTTTATTGACCACTTTACACACAGTTGCTGACACATACAGCCGGCTGTAGCTTTGCAGCTCACAGCCCGACACATACCACCAGACGTTAAGGCGGCGAGGCGTGATTGCGGGTGCCGCTCAGGTGCGTCCGCCTCCCCTGCAGCGGTGCTGCAGACCACGCCCCGCCACACACATTAACCAGGTAAAATACATATTTAGGCAGAATTTTGCAAATATATATTTTTCATTTTTTGGCAGCATAGTGCTTTTTTCCCCAGTTATTTATTAAAAGTCAGGTCAAGGCTCCAAAAGCACAAAGGCGATATAAGGAGGGCTCACAGCAGTTTGTGTTTGCTGGATTATTTTAGTTCAGCTTTTGTTGTATTTCTTTAAGAGTTCAAAATGTGTTCATTACATGAATAAAATGTAGTTTTCTCTGTAGCACTTCATGGAGTTCATAAGCAACACACCTTAGTTGTTCACACAAAGCATAAAGGTAAAAAACAATATACACAGTGTTATCTTCATTTTAGATGTCAACAAGTATTTTCTTTTGCGTTGAAACCGGCTCCAAATGGCTCTTTGGGTGTTGAGGTTGCTGACCCTGATATAGACAGTCACTGGCATTGGTGCATGACTGAGTGCATAGGAGATGAATCGATAGCCTGTACGAGATCTTCACTTGACGATGTGTCTGATAGCCTTTGCACATGCTCACACATCCTCTGTGCATGTCTGTGCCTCAGATGGTCTTCCTGCAGAGCCAGTATAAATAAATGACATTTGAACTGGTTTCTTCAGCATTTCTTGAATACCTGAGTGATTCAGATACGCCCAGTTGATCTCACGCTTCACAGCACCTGAGCAGTGGGGATGCACTACAAAGAAAAAGCGAATGGTGTCAGGTTAGATCCACAGTAGTACAGTAGTATTTAACTGTGAGACACTACAAAACAGTGAACCCCTGTAACAAATTAATAACTGCTCACATTATTATTATTATTATGATGCTGATGCTGATCAAGGATTAGTCTGGTATTAAGTCATTTTATTTGTTTATGGGAGCAGCTGAAAGCAGCTTTATTAAGCAAGACTGAACAATTTAAGCCCATGTTTAGAAATGGAGGAATAATGATTTATAAATGATGCCAAACTAGTACATTATTAATGATTAATAGTATGTAGTTATTATAATATAGAACTATAATACAATTCTATTGTGTGTTTGTGTGTGTAAATAAATAAAGACGCAGAATTAATCTGAATTGATTGGATCACTCAGCCAGGATTTAGCAGGTGCAATGTTCAAGGATCAGAAAATGTTAACATTATGTTAGGATGGTCTCTGTTAGTGTTACTATAAGATGACATTAGCTATGTTACCTTAGCCTAAGCATTTATCCAGTGCTTGCTAACACTTTAGCCTGTGGAGCGGTTGGTTTCACAACGACACCGTCGGCCGTGTCAAACTAAACAACTTGAATGTTGTTAATGAGTTCAAACTGAAGGAAGATGAGTTCTTGAGTGGTATTTCCACGACTGCATTGAACAAGGTTCTGCTGACCGTGCTACCCATCGACTCTGAATGGAGTTTTTAACAGGCCATACTTCATTTAAGCGTAACTGAAGTTCTTCAGTGGGATTAGTTTGTGGCTGACTTCAGCTGAGTAACAGTGTTATGTTCTGTTTTAGAAAAAGAGCACCTGCTTTTTCACATAATGAACGAGGTCAGGTGTGCATATTCGAACACAAAGAAGCAGCACTCAGCAGGATCAACGACAGGTCTGGTTGTTTTTGTGTCCTTGCTGTGTCAGTGCAGCCTCCTGTCTCCACTTACTTGAAACATCCTGTTAATCAAAGCAATGCCTCTGTCACTGCCCTGCATCTCACTTCTCTCTCGCTACCTCACTTTGAGTCTCCTATGGTTCCTCCTTGACATGAAGATCTTCTTTCCTTACATATTTCATCTTTGTGTTCCCCGTTTGTCTTTACAGTCTCTCTTCTTTTCTCTGCATGCATGTTTTGTCATCACAGGGTTAGTAGCAGTTTTTCATTTCTTTAAAATAGGCTTGCGTCTTACTAGGAATTTGATTGACCTTGGCTTTTACAGTAAAACCATCTGAAATGCACATAAAATCAATCTGTCTGAAATATTTTAGCTGAGCCTAGAGCTGTGGTTAGACATGCAAACCTGGCACCTACACCACATGTACCTACATGTACCTGCTGTCACAGACTGAGAAGAAAAGACATTTCAGAGCTTTTCCTCCGTCCAGTTTACAGTTCAAAGCTGCTTCTTTGTCCATCTCACAGCATGGGACTAAGATTCAATAAATGAAGTCATAGCAAACAAAGTAAAATCTAAAATGTGTTGTAATGTGGAAGCTTGCAGTCCTGGCTGGTTTGGTAACCAACCAGTTTACCAAATGAGTATTACAGCTCGCAGTGCTCCTTTTGTGAGATATGTCTGTATCCACACTGATAATTGATAAAACATTTGCATTGCTCTTGGTAACTACGGGACTGAAGAACTTATTGCTAATAAGATCACATAAACATAGTTTAGCTTTGAACAGGTAATGAAGGTCACATCACAGCAGATTAGATCCGAGTACTTTCTAACCATCATCTAGGCAACTCTTGGTTAACAATTTGCTAGTTTTAAACAGATGCAAACAATATAAACAGGGACTATTTTGATGTTCCTGTCACTGCTATCAGGATGGTGCAGACATGCAGTAAACATGCATTTAAGTTGAAAACACTGTAGTATGAAAATGTAGCATCATTGACCCGAAATGTAAGCAGAATAATTGCTTCACTGTATTATTGTTAACTCGGAGTGCCCCAGAGAAACCCAACCACTGTCCAGATTAAAGGGTCCTCCTCAGTGGTTGTGTTTTTAAGAATTTGCTGATTGCAAGTGTAACGAACTCGACTAAATATGAGTTGATATTGTTCTGTATTGTGTGTTTGTTGGTCATCAGCATGCAGGGTTGTGAATGTTTTGGATCCTGGGGCAACACTGCAGATCTCAGCTGGACGTTTGCTTTTGAGATGATGTTTTCTGCATCTGCACCAACTTGCCTCCTGTCTTCCCTCTGACGTTTGTTTCTTTTCTGTCTGCACTAACATCCTTGTGTCTTCAGGGTTTCGGTGGTTCAGCAGGCTGCTCTGGGAGGTAAAAACCAGTCAGTGTAAGCAGCATGGACAGAATGTTCTGTTTCGTACAGCTCAGCATCCACCCTTTGATTATCGTCTGTGTCCAGACCTGCTGCTTGAGAACATCAGTTTTAATTTGATTCTTCTTTTTGGTTTTGGTTTTGACATGGACTTGGTGGTGTTGCAGATACATGTCACTCATTATTTACGACACTGTTTGTTTTTCATTGTATGTCCCTTAATGTGTTTGACATTAATTTCATTGTTACAGCAGCATGCTGGGGCTTTATGTTTACAAACAAAAAGAAATTAAGAATTATATATCAAAACCTTCTAAATCACAAAGCTCTAAGAATAATAATAAATGAGCTTACATTGGTGCTACAGGGTGAAAATGTCCCTGTGAATGTCTGACTTCATCATTTTGAGAATCTTCAGGTTTTGTTCGTATTAACGTTTACCTGTAATAGCCCAAATATACTGCTGTACATTACAACAATACCCCCCCCCCCACCCCCCCCGGCTGTTCATGTTCTTTGTGAAGTGTTTCCGTGGTAACATCTTCAACATCATTCAGTAACATCCCTGATCTGAATGTATTCTGTACCTCGTTATTCACAGTTAGCGTATTCTTGTCATCATCAATTATTCGTCGTTATATGTTTAATTGATTTAAGCTTTAATTCCCAGATCTGAAGCAGACGGTATCATTTAATCAATTCCATTAGGTATCATTTACACTAGTGGGTCTAGTTACAGTGGAAATGCAGCTTCAGAGTGCTGAAGCCTGTTGCTGTTGAAGCTGTGGTGCTGTGACTGTGGCTTTGGCCCTTGTTAATGACACTGCACCCTCTCTGAGAGTCCAGTGTGGATGAGAGGCATCACGAAGGCAAACGAAGCCTGTTTCAGGCTTTATTTGTTCCTGAGGCTTGAAAAACAAGTGAACTAATCCTTTAATGCAGAAGGTTCCTTTCATGATGTCTCCCAGTATTTCATGTTTCTAAAAATACAGCAATGATGAAGGACAAACACAGATCAGCAGCACAACAAGAAATGAGTGTTGTGGAAAAACATGTAATGCTTCTTAAACTTTTTAATGTAAAAATGTTGTCACAGCAAAGTCATTTAAACGACATGTTGGCATTTCTGTGCTCCACCGTCGGTTTGTCTCACAGGTCTTTAAAGCAGCATAAAGCCCTGTACAGTTGTGTAACAGCTCAGCAGTGCGGACTGAAGTTTAGTTTTCTCTAATGTAAATATTCTATTCTTCATGTAAGATACTGATAGTCCAACATATGAACAATCTCCTCCACCTCCATACTTCAGTAAATTGTTGGATCTATTTCCAGAAGTGAACGGTTGCTCAACAGCAGCTCACAGTGCTGTAGTTTGCAGTGTCTGTTTTTACTGTCAGATTTCTGCCGTTCCAATAATATCTGTCCTGTATTAATATATCATAGTGTTCCCAGTGAACTAGTAAAATCTGAACAGCTCAGTGTTGATATTAATCAGTCACACCTGGAAACAAAACATCACCACACGATTCAGATTATTGATAAACTACAGGCTCTTTCTGTGATTGTAACACACATCAGCACTGCTGATCTCTGAGATGTTTTTGTGGTGTAATGCTGAGTGTTGTGTGTGCTGCAGGGTCAGGGGGCCATTACTGAGAAGCTGCGCAGCCTGAGTATGCATGACCTCACACAGATAGACCAGCAGGACGACAGAGGAAACCAGCTGTACCAGTACAGCTCCCATTCTTCCAACCCTGCTGTCAGGAGGTCTCGCAGCAGTGACGCTCCGGATGGAGATGGTACACACACACACACACACACACTCGTGCACTTCTCTCATACAACAACACAACACAACACAAACAACAAAACACACACACAAAACACAACACAAACAACCACACACATACACACACACACACACACACTCGTGCACTTCTCTCATAAACGTAACACAACTTCTCAATCACAACAATTCATGGTAAAGGAAACAAAGAGAAAACAGTTCGTAAACAGAAACCTAAAAGAATAAAATCTGTGATTAGAGGTTTGACTAGAACCCTGACAGCTGATTGATAACATGTTTGATATGGTAGCTTTTTCTAAACAATGCTAAGATGAGATTTCCAGCCAAAGGTCAGTCCTTCGTGGTGGATGAAGGTGGCGTCGTTCTGTTTGTCACTGGTTCTCGCCACAGTCTCCATGACAACTACAAAACGTCTCGTATCTGAGGAAGCCTGCTGGGGTTTCGAGCTTTGCAGTGAGCCGGTGACTGGACCTTTAGTTATGTTCCCCCTGAAAAGTGTCTCCCTGCTGTACACAGTTCAAAACCAACCAGGACCCTGAAGAGCCTGAGCTCAACGTTTAGACTGTTGTATGAGCAACGATGTGTGCAGTGAGCACATGTGCTCAACACTCAGCACATGCAAACCTCACACATGCCATGAAGGGATGAATCCCAAACATGACTCCTGTAAAGATATCAGTGAAACTCTTTCCAGTGATATTACGTTTTTATTTTATTATGAGTTTGGCAAAAAACGCCAAAGCAGTAATCCATGAAGACTGACGCTGGTGATGAATGAGAGAACATTATTTTATTACAATGTTGACTAATAATAATTAAGAATAATGACAACCATCATAAATAATAATGATGATGATGGTCAGAAGAGAACAATAAGGCACACACGAGCAGGACTTTGTTAGACAGCTACATTGTTACCTTTGCACTTCTCTGTGTGTGTTTGTCCTCAGCGTGATCAGAACTGCAGGCTGGTTGGATTTCAATAAAAATACTGAGTGTGAGATGACTTCCCAGCAGACACAGGGGATGAGATAAGGCTGTGTGGGATGCCAGTGGAATGTCAAACACACTCTCCTACTCACTCACACACAC